TAATGTCTGTAAAGTTCTGGTGTATGCCTAACACATGGTAGACAATGAATATATATTCAGGAAATTTATTTAAAATGTTCTCTTACCAAAAAATTGATCCAGATATTTAAGACTTATGAGAAGATGAATGGGAATTAATCCATGACCCAATTTTTAAATAATTCAATTACACACTGACCTGAATAACGAGAAGGGTGTAAGGTCTTCCTTTTTCTTTTTTTAGGATACTCATTCATATCTTTCCAATCTTAAAAATAAAAAAAAAAATAAAAAATTTAAAATGTCACAAATAATAACTGTTAATATTGTTATAGAAATTCTTTCTAACCAGAGAATTTATTGGCAATAAGAAATGTGTGTGCCATGTGAAAATCTACCTTATAAAGGTTAAACAATGCCTCTTTTTAAATTTTGAATTCTTTTTCCAATCAAGTTTAAAGATAGGACACTGATTTTCCTTTTTTAATGAGGTTGAGAAATTCTTTTTCAAATGTTCATGTAACTGTGAGAACTGGAAAATTACAATAAACCTTATGCTTAAATTATTTTATTGGAAAAAAACACTGCACCTATGGCACCATATTATGAAGTTTACAAGCACATTTACTACAATTGGGAATATTTTCATACAGGTTTCAAGCTAAAGGCTTGAAATACCTCTTCCTGAAAAGAATGGTCACAAGTCGGTATTGGCCCCCTAGCTTCCAGAAAAAATACTCATAACACAGAAACTCAGAACACAATAATTTTCAAGAAGAAAATCCTTTTCTTATGAGGTCACATTCAACAGTCTACTGAGAACACAACAGGTGTGGCAACCATTGTACAATTAAATCCCCATGAACTGTTATAAAATTAACTAGTTTCACTACATTCCACTTACTTGGTATAATTCTTAATACTGGAGTGAGTAAAAATTACAGGGGCGTTTCCACTGATGTTAAAAAAAAATGCCTGTAAGTAAAACATGACAGAAGTCACATAAGCAAAAACATAGCTCATTTCTGAGGTTCAAGAATATAATGGTACACGATCATTAATCAAATGGCAAGTTATACAGAATTAATTCAGATATAATATTCTTTTGAATATAAGTACTAAAAGTTGGATATATTGATAAATGTGATTATATGTAAATTTTCCATATTTCTTTGAAATTTACCTTCTAAAGCTGTAGCTATATCTTGACATCAAAATAGGAATATAAATATGTATTAATTTATTCAGCCATAAGGAAAGCAAACACTGAATCACAGACTAAACTGTTCAGGTTCTTATAGGTTTTTTTAGAAGTAAAAATAATAACAATAATTTATTGAGCACCAATTATGTACCAGGCTGTGAACATACTTTATCTCATTTAACTCTATGATATGCAAAATCCACAACACCCTATCAAAATTATTTACTCGTTATTAATGAGGAAACTGAGGCATAGCAAAGTTTAGTCAAAGTTAGACTAATACCCAGTAAGTGGGGTTGGGATTTCAATAAACATCTGATTTTAAAGCCCATGCTTTTAATCCCCTTATTTTACTTTTAAAAACAGAAAAGGAGATAAAGTGACCACCCTACATCAAGTAGATTTGTGTTTCCGATTAGTGTTCTTTTCATTGCAACTGTGGGCAAGTAAGGAATGTCAGAAACAGAAAAATGCACTGTGAAGTTTTCTGTATCAGTCTTATATGCTGCTTTTCTTATCACCAAGGTGGTTTGCATAGTGGGTAGAACTTGGCATCATTACTAGGATCATCTCATTTCTAGTGGTAAAGAAGTTGAGGTGTACAAACTATTTTTGCTGCTTTGCTAAGTTCTGGGTATATCAGCGCTACAAGTGATGTGGTCATGTGGTAATAAAATAGTGCTTTTTCAGTTTATTAAGTAAACATTATCCTAACCACCAAGTGTGAGAGGAAGGGAACATCCTAAAGAAACTGACAACCACAAAACTTATAGAAATGATACCAATAGATAAAAATGTCTCACCTAACAACATAAATGGCATTTCCTGAGTAGCCATCCCAATCCAGTGCATTCAAAAATAATAAAAAAACCTGTTTCATCTTTATGTAATAAACTAAAATTTCAAGACTTATTTTAATATCTTTTTTTGATACACTTCCAGAATTTACATAGCCAAAAGTTTCACAGTTTATGTTCTAAATACTCTAATAAAAGTATCAGAGAGAACACTGAAAACTGTCAGCCAAACATGTAAGGGTAGTCTCTTGTTATTTCAGAATGTATTTCAAGTTCTTTAGAACTTGAAGACTAAAAAAGTAAGAAAAGGAAATCGAGCATAACATTAAAATTCAGGTGGGAGGAATAGGATCACCTTGATGACAAAGGGTTTGACTCCTCCTTAGGGCTGAACAATACCCAAACGCTTATCAGACCTCCGTTTAGCAGAATGGTAAGATGCTCCTTCAAGACCAAAAATGCTAGGGCCAGCCCGTGGCTCACTCGGGAGAGTGCAGTGCTGATAACACCAAGGCTACGGATTCGGATCCCTGTATAGGGATGGCCGGTTAGCTCACCTGGGAGAGCGTGGTGCTGACAAAGCCAAGTAAAGGGTTAAGATCCCCTTACTAGTCATCTTAAAAAAAAAAAAAAAAAAAAGACCAAAAATGCTAACCATCCTTCATTTCAGCAAACATTTTTTTTCCTTTTTGTCTTTTTTACTGACCGGTAACGGGATCCCAACCCTTGGTGTCGCGCCCGTACCGGGGACCGGCAATGGGATAGCAACCCTCGGTGTTGCGCCGGCACCGCGCTCAGCCAGTGAGCGGGAACCGGTCTCCACGTGGGATCCCAACCCTCGGCGGGAGCGCCACAGCGCTCCCAAGCGGCGCACTCTCCAGCGCTCCACCGGGCCGGCCCTCAGCAAACATTTTTATGTGCGTTTTGTATGCATAACTTCCTTAATGAAGAAATTTGGCTTACTACTCAAGGATGTCATTTGCTCGCTAGTCCTCCTCCTATCAGGAAGATTCAGAATCACATGCAAGTTATCATTCACCCTCCCTTCCCATTTATAACACTGCGCTCTAACCAACTGAGCTAGCCAGCCAGCATTCCTTCCCCATTTAAATATAAAGTAAACACATAATACGTGTCACTGCAGGAAAATTACAAATTTTTGAAACATTTAATCAAATCACCTAGAGTCCATTCACCCCCCCAAAACACGGTTAACATTTTGGTGTATATATCT